GAAAGAGCATATTGTCTGCTCTTCCATTTCTCTTGTATCTTGCTATTTATATCTGATGTGTCTGGGGTCTGTGTCATATCTTCTCAGCACACACTTCAAATTTCTGCTGCAATATAGCAGACCATTTCTTTTGAGTACAATCTTACTTTAGATGAGCAACACTTCATCTGAAACACTCAACATGAATCTTTTCATTTTGCACCCCAGGGATCTCCAATAACAAGAGACCAAGTATAGCCTAGAAGAGCAGGGGAGTGAGTGTTCTCTCAAGGCAACTCTCAAATACTAAAGTCAGCTCTGCTGGTGGTTAGTGCTTCAGCACCCATTGGAGGATGACAGGTATGGGAAACATTCTGTAGGATTCTGGGATGATCCTTGTGAGTGCTGGTCCCTGATAGCTACATTGATGACCTTGGTAACATACCCTATTACGTTATTCCTCTTTTCCCTATTTCTCTTATTTTAAGGTTTATTTATTTATGCATACAAGATCTGGCATTCAGGTCAAAGGTATGGGGTAGGGAGTGAGAGGATTCACCAGTGACAGAGTGGGGCACAGAACAGGCAGATTGATGGAAATACACTGCAGCGGAGATTTAACTAGCTGAACAACTCTCAGAAATCATCAGCCTACCGAAAGCTAAGTGACTTTTTCTTTAAGTGTTGAGCCTTCCAGTTGACCCAACACATTAGTTTAGATTCAGCATGTTGTATTCATAATTGCACAGATCTGCTTTGGCTTTAAATAGTTTATCACCCCTAAAAATTCTGACTACTGAGTTGAAGCTGACCTGGATGTTTTCGAGGACTAGATGGTGTCATTGTTCACCAGAGTAGGGGGTGAGTTCTACATCACCTTTTATAATTGGATGACTCCCATTGTAGGAAGAACAGCCAACAGGGTATCCTAAGTAACAAGCCATTTCTCCCTCTGGAAAGTTTCTACAAGTAGTCAGAATAAATCTTGCATTTGAGAGAGATCGTCTCTATAGTCAGAGAATTAAGTGATTGTTTGGTGGTGTTTGTTGAAAATATTTCCACATCTCATATGTCCACGCTTGAGATAGAACTCACTGTGTTTTAGGGAGGCAGTCACCTTAATGACCGGCTTCCTCTGGAAGAAGTATAGTCCTAGGGATGTCAAAGGTGTCTTTGGAAAGACTAGTGCAGTTGACAGTTATTGGTATTGCTCAAGGAACTCTGCATCTGTGGAGGCACAGATTGATGGTTTCTCCAGTGTGGCTTCCTGGCTCATTGGTAAACCTTGGGTGTCATAGTTTAGTTAGAAGAATTTAAGTTTGTTCTTATTTTTTAGCAAGACCATCTGAAGGAAGTTATGCTACTAACTGGACCAAGATGGTATCATTGATTACCTCAGCTAGAAGGGGTGAATTGCATCATCTTTTCTAATTGGATGGCTCCCATTGTAGGAACAGGGCATGATGCCCTGTCCATTCTATTATCTGAGTGGAATTTCTTTGTCCCATGGGATGTTGGAGAATGGGAAGCAAACATTCAGTTAGTGAGGTATGTTCTGTAACAGAGGTACAAGAGCTGGAGTTATCCTTTGCTCTTTTCAGTAGACATTTTGTTAAGTTGAAGGGGAATGGCTAGTGGAATTGTCATCAGAGCTGTCTGACAGGGCATGGCAAAGTCACAGTGTCAGTTATGATCCTGCAACAGTTTGGGAGAGTTGCATCAAGGCATTTTCCTAGAAGAAAAAGGCTCCAGGAGCAGCTCTGAGAGATGAAGTATGATTAATGTTTCCCTTGTCTGACCCAGGGCTTATGGTGTTCTCAGGTGCTATAGTTGTTGTGTTCCTTTCGTGTCTGCAAAATGACTTTGTCTATTCCGGTAACTATAGCTTTTTTTTTTTTTTTAAGATTTATTTATTTATACATACAGTACTGGAGTACAGGCCAGAGGTGGAGGGGCAATGAGAGGATTCACCAGAGACAGAGTGGGGAGCAGAACAGGCAGATCGACGAAGTACAATGCTGAGGGCAACAGTGGGGGAGACAGGAGAAGTCTGTTGTGCCATGTGGATCACATCCTGGGCAGGGATCGAACTCACATGGAAGAGGCTTTGGCCAGCTTCTTAGTGCTGTGCTTTAACCCGCTGCACCACCAGGGAGGGCCTGTAACTGTAGCTTTGCCTCTTTTCTGAACATACCCTACTCATACCTTGCACTACAGGTGCAAGAGGACAAGCACATTTTTATAAACCACAGAGACTCTTTATGCCCCCACTTGTCCCTTCATAGGCTACTGTAGGAGGACTCGATGAGCAGCGTTCTCAACCAAGTGTTCATTATCCTTATGATCTAGGACCATGTCAATCCAACATGAATGCAAGTGACTGAAAAATAATTAAGTTTGAATTGGCTAGGCCTCCTTTTGACCAGTCTGCCACCTGAAGCATTTGCCAACCCAGCTGTACCTGTGTTGCCATTAAGAGAAATATAATGCCATATAATAACCAAGAGTGGTCAGGGCAGAATTCCAAATTTCCAAAATGCTTCTGTGCAATCCTCCACTCTTTTCATCCAGAACATTACCCAGAAACTGTCCCTTTCTGCCAGAGCCATATTCAGTGCCCACACTGCTTTTCCAAGTTGTTTGGGCCAGGAGGAGGAAGGGACATAGAATCAGAAATAGTTTTTTAACTAAACTTTTTATTATGAGATAATTGTGCACACACACATGTAGAGTTGTAAGAAGTAAATCAGAGACATATCATGTGTCCTTCAGACAGTTTTCCCTAATGGTAACATTTGGCACAATCATAGAATAATATCTCATGGATATGGTTAGACTACAGAGTACTTCTGTTACCAAAAATTCCCTTTAAAAGCCACACATTGCTTCTTCCTTAACTCCTGGCAGCCACCAATCTGTTCTCCACTTCTATACTTTTGTCATTGCAAGGATGTTTTATAAATAGACCCATCGAGTGTTATGGAAAGCATCTAGCATTTCTCAATGAGTATAATGTCAGCTGTAGTTTTTTTTTTTTTCTTTTGGGAGGTGGTCTTTACCTAATAGTAGAAATTTCCCTCTATTTTTCTGAGTATTTTAAGGTGCTGAATTTTGTCAAATATTTGTTCTACTTTGCATGATATGTTTATGTGATTTTTCTTCTTTATATTGTTTATGGGTTTCTTGACTGCCAGTGGGATAGAGTGATGTAAATTCTATCACATCCTATTTACTTAGTAAGTAGGACCTTGAATTTTTTGAGGGCTCGTGGAAGTGCGATAACTTTGCATTCAAGTGTGAATAGCCAATTGCGTCACATGGACATTGCCTCCTGGCTTCTAGGAACTGTAGAGTTTGAGAGGAGACCTTAGGAGACAGGGGTAGTTGTAGCTGATACCCAGGAAGAAAACTGAGGACTGGGTCCTACAACTGCACAGAAATTATCCCTGCCAACAACCTGAGGGAGCAGTCTGGAAGCAAATCTCCTGATGCCTGCCTCAAATCTCACATCTTCCGGGTAAAAATCCAGCTTGGTTGGCACCTTAATTGCAGCTTGTGAGATTGAACAGAGAATCCCATTAGCCACACCTGGATTTCTGACCCTCAGAAACTACAATAATAAATGTGTGGTGTTTCGGGCTACTCAACTTGTGGCAATCTATTACATAGCAATAGATAATGGACTTACCAGCCAATAGAACATCATCTATTGGTGAAACTTGGGTTATCAGGAGAGGTACTCTTAATAAATTATGATGCTCACATTCCTGGCAGGAATTCCAGGATGCAGGACTGCAAATATACCCTGGAGATAAGTGGCATGGGGTGGTGGTGGTGGTGATGGGGCGGGGGGAATGAGTTTCTCCACATCTTGGTAGGTTCATGTGAAAGTGACGATCTATTTCATAAGGTGGCTGTTAAGAATTACAGGATAAGGCAGGCAAAGCTGTTCAGTACTGGGTTAGCACCTTTCATTTTGTCTGCCCATGAGTTTAGTATTTCAATGTTTCTGTCAGCATTTTAAAAATATAATGGCAAATGATTTGCAGCCTCTGCACACACACACACACACATACACACACACACACACCATCAAACAATCCGACGAAGGTCACCCCAGATCTAAAGCACTGTTTGGTGCAACCTTGTCTAAATTTTCACGGAACTAAACATTTTCACATTTTCCTGCAACTCTCACCACTCAACAAGAAAACCCTAAGCCAGCCTTGTCCTCCAAAACACTCAAGTAATTGGTCTTCTCAGAAATAACCACACATATGGTTATTAAGGACCTCAGTGAATAAAGTTTTTTCCGCTCCAATGGAAGAATACTGCCTTCCAAGAGGGGGCTCTTGAATTCTATAATTCCCTCCCTGCAGAAAGTGGGTAAAGAAGAGTCCTGAAGCGTGGCCTCTCGGCTTTGTGGGGCGTGGGCATCCGGAGCCCCAGATCCCTTCTCCTCGGAAATGTGGGAGACGCTAGTAAACGCGGGTCGCGCATTAATTTCACCCCAAGAAGAGATTAAAATCGTCCTGTTTAAAGAGACCAACCTAACTGCCTAAAAGGATGGGTCTAACGGGTCCCGGGAAAGGGCAAGCCTTAGGTGCCGAGCGACACCCCCAGCCCCCCAACTCGGCCCAGGGCCCCTCCCAGGCCCGCCGCCGCCGCCGCCTGGTGCCACATCAGCTCTCGCTGCACTTCCAGGTTCCTGGCGAGGATGGAGCGAGCCGGGGGGCGGAGGCGGGCCGCGGCGGCGGGAGTGGCGGGCCGGACGGTCAATGCGCGGCCAGCGGGGAGCCGCGACCGCCAATGAGCCGGAGGTTGGGTTTGCCGCGGCCGCCGAGGCCCCTGCCCTGCAGGGGAACCAGATGAGGCACATCTGGACAGCTGCGCCGAGGAACAGTGCAGCCCCTTCGTGGTCCGACGTCAGTCGAGCACGTCCTCCACGTCCTCTCCTCTGACCACTGATTATTTATTCGTTTTCCCAAAGAAGCGAGCAGGGATCCAAGTTTAAAACTTTCCCCTCCCTAATGCAAGACGGGGCCAGATCCCATCCAACACACTGTTTAATTTTCATGGGGTTGTGGGATCAAAAGAACAAAAACAGCAACAACAAAAGCCCAGCCGCTGTCTGATTTAAAACTGGCAAAGTGGGGAAAATAAAGTGTTGAGTAAACAGAAGGAGTTGGGTAAGTTTCGAATACGTGCTGAATATCCTATTTCTCCCTCTGTGATTTCTGTCCTGAGTCTTTTGCTTTCTCACTAGTCTTCTCATCAAGGGGGAAAAGCATCGCTTGCTATCACAACTTGCATAGACCCTAGGTTTGATCTTCTTCTCCTTTACTAACATATTTTTTTTTCCCGTCATATGTGTATTATTTTGAAATACCCTGGGAACAAAATGTGATTGCTATTCTGTTACTAGTCTTTCATAACTTCAAAGTTGAACCTACTTCTACATTTATTTTCTATTTTATTTCTGGGAGAAAAGAGTACACATTTGTAAACCCTAAATCTTAATTCATCCCCTCTTAACTGTCTGTTTTGATAGAAAATAGTTAAGATTATCTGGTTTATTAAGAATTAACAAAATTTTTCCGTCCATTACCAGGGTTTTTAATAGTAAATTATACCAGAATTACATAGTTAACTGTTATTTCACTTACATTTGAATTTAGTTGTAACCCAAAAATGCCTTTTGATATAATTCTATCCACTGTGGGAGGTCTAAACTTCTTTATGATTGTTAAAAAACAAGTTAAATATCTGACAGACCATTGTGCACATTAATTACGGTGTAATTGTATGTTAATCCCATAATTCTGTCAAATGAATATCTGATTTATTTTGGATGTTTATACTTGCAGAGAATTGCAGAGAATTCTGGTATGTATTGCAGGATTTAGAAGTGAAAATGATGGCAAACATTAAACCTAGATGAATGGTTTGGTGCCCATTCCATTTTAAATATCTATAATTCAGCTCCTTGGTGGTCTAGTGACCAGGATTCAGCACTTTTAAAATATCTATAATTCTCTCTGTGTAATTCATGTTTTAGATTTGAGACTTCGTCCTCTGTAAATTACTGTCATGGCAGATCTGGTTAGAATCGATCTTTAATTTCTGCCTCAGAAAGCAGTAGGTGAGAATTTGGTGTCATAATTGCAAGTTGCAAAGTGTGTTTTTATTTCAGAAAGGCAATGTATACAGTGGATGGAACAGGTGAAGTGATTTCCAGGGGTGCAGAGTTAGCAGGAGCAGTGTTGCAGGAAACCATATGGGGTTCAATTCACAACCCTATAGTTAATCTTGGGCAAATTACCCAACACATCTGTGTCTCAGTTTCCTTCTCTAAAATGTAGAGATTACACAGATTACTCCTTTCTTATGAGTTTGAAGTCTCAGTTAACATGAACCCTTAGAATGGATCTGACACATAGTCAATCTTTGCTCTTATAATCATTCTTCCTTCCCAGCTTCCCCTGCTGCCTATCAATTTCCTCAACTGACATCTGGCCTCTGCACTAGCAACTGGTGTTTCCTGGGCACTGACCACCCTTAGGCAATTCACTGTATAGGGAAAGAGGGTCTTGAGAGGGAAGTGAGGTAGAATTTATCAAGTGCCTTACGTAGGTCTATAAGATTCTGAGATGTGCAGAGTGTGACTAAATAGGACTTTTTATTGTAGAATGGCTTCATGGACAGGTTGACATTTCTGGGAAAGGATTTTGACAAAGGGGCAAGACATCCTAACACAGCAGGTAGGAAGCCTTCTAGTAGAAAAGGAAAGTGCTACCGGAGCACCGAGGCTGAAAAGTATGACTGTCCTTGACGACAGTGTGCTGAGATGCAGGTTAATCTGTGTGAAGTTATTGGGCAGAAACATTGAAAAAGTGTGAGAGGTAGGAGAGAACGGAACAGAAAGTCTGCTATTGAGGGAGGGACTTGGGAGGTGTGCTGGTGGGGGTGGCGAGCTGAACTGGCAAAGGTAGTGGAGGTGTTTCTGGAATGATCTCGATCATTCTGGAGCCTGGCATCCACTTTGCCCTGCATGCCCTCCCCATCTGTGGGCTGTGTGGACAGGGCTGAGTGGTGAGCCTGGACTCCACTTTTTGGATTCACACTGAGGCAGCTTCTTGGACCACTTCTTGATGAAGTGGTCTGACATTCGGGGCTATTACCTGGCTATTTTTCAGAAACAGGTCATACCCTAAACTCTTCGACATGGATGTGATTGCCTCCCCTACTCCTGTTGCAAAGTGTGTATGCAGAATGGCTCTTTCTCATCCATCCCACTGGAAGAATCATCTGTTCACATCCCAGTGCCTATAATTTTATAATTTATAATGATCAAAGTAGATAAGACCTGTAAAATACACCTAAGTGGAGAGTCACTTTGGAAATCTCTTTCTCTTTCTTTAGGGCTTTGTGTCAGAGAGAACCTGAGTCTGGCCCCAGTGCTGCTACTGACCACCTGTGTGCCCTTGACTAGGACATTAAGCCATTCTGCCCTCTCTGTGCTATCAGCTGTACAATGATCTCTAAGGTCACTTTTTCCTTGGATGATCTTTTCTTTTCCTCCCCCATTTCTGGGTCAGCCTGTTGCTTGCAGATGATAGTACATGGCTTCATTGTTCTGAATGCTTTACATGTCTTAGCTCATGTAAGGCTCTCAGGAGCCCTGTGAAGGTTGGTACCTGTTAGCTGAGGAGACAGATTCACAGGCAGGTTAATACTCCTGAACTCTTGTTGCTGCCACAGTGAACAAGAGGCAGATGCGACCCAGGGTGTTAGCCCTAGTCTATATTGTTTTCAGTCGGTGTAATAAAGCTTGTTTGCAATGATGATAGTTAAGTCTGTGGAAGGAGATCCTTAGAGGGGCAGGGAACATTAGGAGGAACCAAATTACTGAATTTTCCTGGAGGGGCCAACATGAGTCTTACCCGTGGGTTATGCTGTTCATGGAGTCAGGAGACCTTTCACTTATTGATTAGATGGAACTCATTGCTGGCAAGCACTCTGTCTCTTCATTTTACTTGAACAGAACCACTGAGGTCTCTGGACTTACAGCAGGCTTTCTGTACCTGACAGCTGAATGAAGATTTCCTTTGAAAAACGGAAACAGAGTAAGAGTAGAAAAGAGTAGAAAGCAATGGTTTCCTTTATTTACCTGCTCTCTTCCCATTCTATTACTCTTTCCTGAGGCCACATTTGTTAGTAGTTTGGTCTGCATCCTTTCAGCCCTTCTCCAAGAGTCCATAAATATAATTTTAAAATATAAATGGGACCACAGTATCTTTATTTACAAAAACAGGGAAACTATGAAATGTTTCAAGGCTTGTGGAAAAACGGGGCATATGCCAGGTAAACATTTTGTTCCTATTTCTTGGACAAAGGTTTCTTATTTCTGGAGCAGCTGTGGTTTGGAGCATAAGAACGTCTTGTAGTGAAGTTCAAGTAGGGTTCTTTTTAGGTGTCATCTTATTAATCATATTCAGTCTGGAGCTGATACCTTTTTGGGAATCCAATCTTCAGATTTTATTATGTACAGAATCAACTTTAAAATATTATTTGAAAAATAATTTTTTATTTCATTATCTTAATGTAAGTCACTCTTTTAGTATAACGTATTGACTAAGCACACAGACTTTGGAATCAAAGTGTGAAAGGTTTCTGTCCCTTACTCTGTTTTCACTAATGTCCCTTGAGTACGTTCTCTGAGAGGCTTTATTATCTATAAAGTGGGCTATCAATGGGCACTAAATGAGGAAATTTATATAAAACACTATATTTGCTATAGTGTTTGTATCACAGTAAAACCTATACATGTGAGCAATTTCTGTTTATTATGATAATATAAACATGAAATATAATTGACGACTTTAGTTATTTCTAAATATACAGGTAAGTGGCATTAAGTACATTCATATCCTTGTGCAACCATCACCACTATTTCCAGAACTTATTCATCAGATTGAATGCCATACAGATGAAATAATAACTCTGTTACCCAACTCTCCAAACTCTGGCAGCCACCATTCTATTTCCTTTCTTTCTAAATTTGACCACGCTTGTTACTTCACATAGATGTAGTTATACAATATTTATTCTTTTGTGACCAACTTATTTCACTTAATATAATGTCTTCAAGGTTCATCCATATTGTAGCATGTGTTGAAATTGCATTGCTTTTTAGGACTGAATAATATTTCACTGTATGTGTGCCACATTTGTTTATCCATCTCTTGATGGACAGTGGAATTGTTTCCATCTGTAAAAATTAATTTTGTGTGTCAACTTGACTAGTTTACAGTACCCAGATATTTGGTCTAACATTCTTTTGGATTTTTGTGTATAGACAGTTTTTAGATGATATTAACATTTAAATTAGTGGACTAATAAGGCAGATTACCCTCCATAGTGTAGTCATGCGTCACTCTATCACCTGAAGACCTTAGTAGGAAAAGACTGACTTTGCTTGAAGAAGAGGGAATTCTACCAGCTGCCTTTGTACTTGAACTGCAGCATCAACTCTTTCCTGGATTTTGAGCCTGCTGGCTGGCTTACCCTGAAGATTTTGAATTTGTCAGTTTCCATAGTAATGTGAGCTAATTCTCTCTATTTATCTTATTTCCTGGAGGATGCTGACAAAACCAACCATCTTTTCACTATCGTGAATATTGTGCTAAGAACTTTGGTGTTGAAAGCTTGATTTTAATCCTTTTAAGCAAAAATCCAAAAGTAGAACTGCAGGATCATAAAAAAAAAATTCATTTTTTGAAGAGTAACCCCTAGCAGTTGCACCATTTTATGGTCCCATGAGCAAGGACAGGGTTCAGATTTCTCCACATCTTTGCTAGCACTTGTTATTCTATTTTTTGTTTTAAATAATAACCATCTTTATGGGTGTAAAGTGGCTTTGATTTGACTTTCCTAATAATTAGTGATGTTGACATTCCTTTTGAGTGTTCACTGCTCATCTCCTTTGGAGAAATATCTATTTTCCAAATAGACACAGAATAGAAATTTCTGTTCTTTGCTCATTTTAAAGTCAGGTTTTGTTGTTGTTGTTACTGAGTTGTTGGGTTTATGATTTGGAGATTCTTTTCTCCCCTTCCCTGGATTGTCTTTTTAGTCTGTTGATACTGTCTTTTGATACTCAGAAGTTTTTAATTTTGACATAGGACAA